GGAGGGGCCAACCAAAAACCGAGTTGAAAAAAACACCGTTGCTACACTCTCCTACTCCAATCGACCAACAATGATGCGCGGTGTACCAAAAGGATTCATATCTTTGTGTGCCCTTGTTGTCCTGAAGAGAACGCTGGCTTGGAGGTTCAGGCCAAAAACCGAGTTGAAAAAAACACCGTTGCTACACTCTCCTACTCCAATCGACCAACAATGATGCGCGGTGTACCAAAAACAAGGATTCATATGCAAGCACAGTAACTGAGCTACCTGCCCGTCCAGTTGCGGGCGCAAACCTTGTAGATTCGGGAATTACGGGATGATGTTCGTGTTCCATTAAGGCTCGTTGTGTTCTTCTGGGGTTTTTGTTGAAGTAGGCTAACTGAACCTCTATTAGTGTTAAGCTCATTGCTCATGACGATGAATCTGCCAATGACATGCTAATTCATCTTTTTTGTACACCTTTTCGGTGACATCTGTTTGCCTGGCCAGTTGACCAAATCAACTGGCAGCGGGTGCGTCTGTTGCATGTAGCAAAAGCTTTCTCCTCTTGGGCCCTCCTAATCCACCTATGTTCACTGTTTCCTTCAAGCGTCTTTCTCCATTATCCATACGGTGAGCGTTGGCTCCAAATTAACCACATAATTGTGCTTCATTTGAGCCTAGACGTTCAACCTAGGCTGTCGTATCACCCACGGGGATGATTATGTTTGTACTTGTTGCTGACGGAACCGTCGCGAAGATGTTGGAAAAGCTCATAGTCCTCATAACCAGAACGGCAGTCTGTCGTAGCGCATGATGATGTCGCAAATAAATGCCGGCTGCTGTATCGAGCTGCGTTGTTTACAATTTAAACAGAAAATGCACAGCGCAAAGACGACTGTTTACTGGGGCCCAGTCCAGTAAAGAGTTTACAGCCTTGGGGCAGAGTGTAACTCCTATGCCTTAGATACCATCAACTACAGCGTCGGGATCACCAAATACATATAAGCTAAACTTGAGCGGCCTGAGGTGCACGACAGAAGTGGGGTTTTTGTATAATTGTTTCAGAGGCATATGCATCGACGTAGAGGTTTCAGTAAGAGATATCTCATTCCCAGTTTCATAGGGTGTACAGATATCGAAGGCAGAAAACCAGACCAGGAGTTCGGATTTCGGCAGGGAATCGTTTTGTCTCATTGTCTAGGCGATAGTGTAGGCATTGAACCATGGTCAGGGGAGCTGACAGCTGTGCATTATCCGGTAGGTGGGGAGGGGATATGAATGGGGGCCGGTAGGCGGAGAGATGCGTCAGTGTTAACATTCACGTTGCAACATCTGATGAGCGGTGTTCCAAAATGTATAGCTCGTTGGATAGAACTAAGTAAAGTAGCGGTGTTTGTTGCCCTGGACATCTTGTTGATGCCCCCAATATGCTCTGTCCATGCTTCTTGTGGAACGACCTAAGGCAATAGCACCGTAATATTTGCCTCGAACTGGATCCGGCAGGCTCAAACTAATGTGTCTTTGAGAAACTGAAGCCACCCAAGCATTTGTGGGAAACGGCAAGTCGAAGGCGGCTGGTCGAATTATCGTTTAAAATACGAGGTATTTTCTCGTGAGCTCAAAGGGGTGCGCTAAACCGCGCTGAGTATGTAATCTGATTTTAGTGAGAACTGGAGCCAGAAGAAATTGTATAACATAGGTTTTAGCCATTAGTGAATAGCAGTGTGGTGGATAGTGTCGTATAAAAGTGTAAGAGATGGTGCTAATCTCCAGCTACATGCCGAACTTCTTATCAACGTCTTATCGAAGAATTTTTCAAGTGTCTCAGTCTAGGTTGATGGAGGTATAACTGCGTCATAAGAAGGAAACTGAGGAGCATCACAAAGTTTAAAATTTGAGCAGCGCACGATAACAGTGACTGCACCACTCGAAGACATGCTACGGTTCTCAAGATGACGGCGAAATTGGTCGAAGGGGGACGCGGATGGGTAACTTGAAGTCCCGGGATGTTTGCTGATACCTGGACTTCAGAGCCACAAGCCTGGTCAGCTGATTAATCAGCCAATCAGAACGTTCAGCAAACCGTGCATGTGCACGCTGTGTTCAGCCAGTTGCTCCACTGTAGGTTTTCAAGCTTCGTACCCGATAAGAAAGTAATAGATAACTGAATTTATTCCTCAAATTGTCACCAACCCCGGAAACTTGGGCAGAAGCCTTGGTCCTGTGTATCAGTCCGTAGGCCCATGAATACCGCACTCCGAAGTACTGTAAAAGAGACAGGGAAATAGGAATCGTCAGTAAAATTTGACGCTTAACTTTTATGTACACCGACCAAAATTATGCCTCAACCCATGCGGATACCTGTAATTGGATGTGCTTGTGTGAAGCATGCACGATACTATCTTTCGCGTTCAGAAATGTGGTGTTTTGTGTCATCTTTTGGCTTCCATATCGTATTTCGTTGATTGCGTAATTGTTTTTTGTTTGAATACAAAAAAACTAAAACACGCGCATCTGTAGATTTAGACGCAATACAATCGTGGTCAGGGGCTTCGACTTTCTCTTCTTAATTCTTTCGCACTTACAGCGGCCATTCGTCACTTTCACTTGCTAAATCTGGTATCAAAACATTACAGACTATCTTTGGAATTTATTATACGTGAGAACTGTTCAGAAGAAGACCAGTGGACTACCACGATTGGATTAGTGTTCACTTAATGAACTTGACCAATGACGAAATATTTCAAAGTGAACAATTCCTAATGAGTCTGTTCCACTTGACCTTATTATTGTCTGCTCGATCTAGCATTATCACTTTTATTTCTCTACCACACACTACTAGTAAAGAAGTCTTTTTCGTAGTCAGACCACTACAGAAGTGTCCGAAGTGTCAAGGCCGGTACACTGGAGTAATCTGTTAAAAGTAAATCAACTCGGATTTACTCTACCGTGCATATATTTGCGGGCTCTCAGTCGGTTCTGCAGCAGCTGAGGGTCGCTGAATCACAAACAAAATTTAAACCGGTCAGAGATGATCAAGTGGCCACCGCTGCCTGTTCTGTCCGAGTGGGTGCGCACTCTGGCTGGCGCCATGGCCCTTCGAATGACCCACGCATTGGAGGTGAAACACTTTCAAACAGTCGAAAAATGTTCTGGCGACGTGGATTGTGGCAGTAACAACACACCACCTCCAATGAACTGACGAGCTTATCTCCTGAGTTGAGAGGCACCCCTGAACGTGAGGTTTCTTAACTTGTCAGCGTAATAATAGTAAACTTAGTTTATAACACAATTCCTCACTCGCCTGTTCATGTAATATCCAAACGGGAGTGCAATTAACTGGCCGTGACAAAGAACGGGAAACCAGGCCACAATCGTCAAACCATAAACCTCCGTTATTGTAGCCCTCAGTTAGTCAGCTTGAGCGAACAACGGACCGTGCGCGGATAAAGTCAGCTGTTGCGATATCCTTGTAAATTGTTCCGGAGCAAGAGCATGACACTTCCTGTCCAGATGAACTGGTGCTATCTGTGCTCTCTTTTGTCTAATGATGGCTACTAAACAGCCTCCAATCATGATCAATCTGCCGAAAGTCTTCCATTTGGCGTGCGGAGTTAATGACGACCCCGTTATCTACGCCAGTGGGGAGTTCAGATTCTTTTGAGATCGATCCCTTTAGTTGTTACCTTTCTGTCGTTTCGTCGTATAGTTTCCAGGTGAGGTTAACTAACCTTGATAGATAAAGGTGTTTGAGATAATTTCCAGTTACCGATTTAGAAGCCATCGCGATGTCTATATGGAGCGCAAGGAACTTCTTCGTTGTGGCGAAATTCCAAATTATCACTTCATTTTCCCCTACATCTGTACAATCTCAGCCGGCTTCCTTCATTGGGTTTGTTAAAAGATACGGAGCAGCTCTATGGAGCTTCATTCCATGTGCACATCAGGTCTTCGAGCCTGTTCACGACATCTCATACCGGCAAACAATGTGTGCCCGCAGCCGACCTGCACATGGCAGGTTTCATAGCTTTACCACATAGACAGGTACGGGTGGCCAGCTATACCGGTCAAGCAAAGCGCTCCCGAAACATCTTGGCCTGTATCCACACTTAGCATATATTACCAGCCAGCCAACACATTTGTTTCAGAATCCCGGCCGTGGGAGGTCGTCCGTGATCATCGACCACAGAAGCCAAGGTGACAACGGCGTCCTCGGAACGGTCACGCGGATTAGCACGTTAGCAGCTTTCCTACTACCAAAAATAGCGATAATTATATTCCCAACCAGTGACAGGACTGCGTCAAGCACGAGTATAATGGTACGGTCAGGATAAAGACAGGACTGACGTTAGTTGTGGGTGTCCAATAATGCAAGTAAGAGGAGCGTTCACATAAATAATGGTCATTATCCGACACGGATGAAAGGACGCTTAAACGGACATGATCTAATTTCAGTGGAGACTGGAAACGAAGGAATAGACCTAATAGTATCGCTTCAGAGGGGTTTGGTAAACAACCGGTGGATTTATTGCTGGGCAACGTTTCGCGTTTGACACAAAAGCTTCGTCAGGCCAAGTGAGTAAGTAAGTAGGTTGATTGGGTTTTCAGGCAGTCAGGGAACCAGTCCGTGAGATTCCTTATGACTAGTGACGTGAACAGTGCTGGCTGTTCAGTCTGATGTCCCTGTTTGTTGATTAGTGGGGATGACTAAGCTTTACGATAGATTGGTTAGAGAAGGGGAGTTCGTCTCTATGATGAACCCAGATTTTTTCGTCCCTGCTTCTTCAGACACCATAATGAAAAATTCCTCTTGGGGTCGTTCACAGATTTCGTTCACCTGCGTTCGTCCAAGGACGCTGGGACAATTAGTTTGGGAATGGGGGTTGGTTGGTTAATTGGATCTAACGCTACTTGGATTTTTGTACTTTTAGACCCAGGCGATGTCGCTGATAACTGCACACCGCCTCGTGTCATCTCGGCTGATCTAAGACCGCTCTCCACACGTTTGCAAGTCCTACCCCCTCTATTCTATTCACACTGGGATGCTTGGCGATTTCCACCGCCTCGGCCACCAGTCGCTGTGGTGTGAATCTTAAACCCCGTCTCAGGATGTCCACATTTTCTAAATCTATCTTATGCCCAGTGTCTAGAGCATGCCCTGCCATTGCTGAATCTTTGACTAACGCTTGGTATTCCTCTGCGTTTCTCGGTGGTTTGTTAATGGAACGCTTATGCTCACCGATTCTGGTGTGCAATTCCCTGGCTGTCTGACCTATATAAACCTTCGTACAGTCGTTACATTTTATTTTGTATACACAGTTCCTAGTCCTATCAACCGGAAGGCGATCCTTCAAATGCACCAACACCGAGCGTAAAGTTTTCCCCTTCTGGAAAGCTACTCTAATGTTAGCCGTATTCACTACCCTTCTAATGACTTCAGATGTCCTTGTTTTGTATGGAATGACCGCTGTTCCGATCCACTCGTTGTTGGGCCTTGGTGTTGGAACCAATACACGTGTTAGTTGCCGCTTAGATAAACCTACTGGGTATCCGCTATCTTGAAGTCGCTTTTTTACCTCAAATTGTGCTGCTTTTCGGTCGACCTCCTCTGTACATAGTGCTCTCACTCTCCTAAACATCGCTGAGGCTATGCTAGCATATACTGCTTTTGGATGTGCAGAGGAGTAGTTTAAGACCGCACCACTATCTGTTGATTTCCGGTATACAGTGGTTTTTAATTTCCCACCACTCTTGTGTGTCATGCAGTCAAGAAAAGCTAGTGTACCCGATGTGGACTCTAGCTCCATGCTAAACTTAACGTGAGGGTCCAATGTGTTCAGATGTTGTTCAACTTATCCCGCTTTGTTACAACGAACGTGTCATCTACGTAACGCCAGAACACCCTTGGTGGAAACTCGGATCCGTTTAAAGCTTTCTGTTCGAAGTCTTCCATGTACATGTTGGCCAAAATCGGGGATATTGGTGATCCCATCGCCAAACCTTGTTCTTGAGAGTATATAATTGAGTCAAAAACAAAATGACTGAGGTTTAGGCATACTTTTATGCCTTCAACTATCTCGTCTACGGAGAGTTGCGTTCATTCTTGCAGCGTTGTGTTTGCCATTAAAAGTCTTCTCGCTACTTCCACAGCGTCCGCTTTAGGGACGTTGGTACACATCGAATTGACGTCGGATTGGTTCCCTGACTGCCTTAAAACCCAATCAACCTACTTACTTACTCACTTGGCCTGACGAAGCTTTTGTGTCAAACGCGAAACGTTGCCCAGCAATAAATCTACCAATTGTTTACCAAATCCCTCTGAAACGATGACTTCCCAATCGGCCCCAAATATTTTACGATTGATTGAAGACCTACTAGTATTTTTAGCTTTAGGAACATATGGTAAACCAAAGCAACATCAAACGGTTACAATTCAAATATAACGGGTAAACGGGGGGGGGGGGTACGCAAAACCAAAAGGTGCTGCTCCGCACGCGATAAAAATATGCAAATTGCCGAAAAATAAGAAACCAGAACGACGGACTCAGAGAGTCAGGATTATTTCACTGACACGGCGGACCACTCGGAACAAAACCTGAAAACCATTTCCGGGACTGCGCGGCCCTGGATGGCTGAGTTACTTGCCAGGGTCTAAGGAAGCATAGTTGGAAATGAGGTGATGGAATTCACAAGGGGGATAGATGGTAGCCGGTATATCAGAACACGTGTAAAGTAAAACTCGATAGACTAACTGGTTTCGCCTCCGGAGAGGATTCAAATGTGAAATTTCTTTGGAAGGATGAGATAGTACTAACCCATAGGAAGAAAAGCTGTACGGAAAATAATTGAATTTGTTGGGAGGACAAACTCAAAACGCACTGATATGGTTAAATCGGAGGGAAGGTTTCAGTGGATTAAAATGAATCCATCCCAGAAACGGTTGGGGTCAGGTAAACGGTTGGTTCCTATTCGTGGCTAGAATTCAGAATAGGCGAGAGGAGACAATACGGAGTGTGAATGGAATAGTTGTGGGTGTGTTACTGAACTGATTTGTAGTGCAGTGCGATCACTGCATTGACACTTCGGTTCTAAACAGGAGCAAAGTGAATGACCTAATCAATCGAAAAACGTCCTTGTAAAAAGTCCTGCAGCAGGTAAAAAAACATAACCCGGGAGAGATGCCGCATTCGTTAAGTATTTTGGGGAAAATTTTCGAGTTTTGAGGGAGAAAACGAGGTGGCCACGACGCAGAAAATAAAGGTCTGCCAACGTCCTCCTTAATCATGAACTAGAATGGTTTACTGTGTTGGTTAACTGGGTCGTTGATTAATTTCCTAGAGTAAAAAACAAAAGAAATTTCAAAATTATCGCACTAAGTATGTACTGAGAGAGTTGACTTCGAACCACTTTAGGAAGGCGAGTTGTAAGTCAAGCCCGCACCCTCATTTCTTATGAACCTGAGCCTGCAGCAGAATCATTCCAGGATTGGGCCTGGACCAATCAGCATCACGACTTTTGCCGGAACGCAACTCCTGGCGTATAGCCATTCGCTGGCTGCCGTGTCATTGTCATAGCTCCTCGTTTCCGAGATGCCGAAGTAATTCCGCTTTTTAACTGGATACATCCCCGACTTAGGTATTATTGTGATTACTGCGATACGTATCTGACGCACGATTCGCCTTCTGTTAGAAAAACGCACTGTGGCGGTAGGAATCACAAGGACAACGTACGGGATTATTATCAAAAATGGCTGGAGGAACAGGTTCAAAAGCTCGTTGATCATACATGTAAGTCCTCGATGCTTGTTAGTTATTTTTCACAGCTGAGGCATACAAGCAGGGAAAGATGCCGCCTCCCTTATTTGGTTCGCCGCTCGGAATGCCCCCTCCTGGACTGGCTTATCCTCCTAGATTTCCTCCGGTAGCCGTTCCTCCGGGATATCGTGGACCCACACCGATGGTTCCTCCTCAAGGTATGATGATGCCACCCCGAGTGGGTATGCCTGGCATGCCTGGAATGCCGGGCATGGCTGGTTGGCCCCCAGCACCGACAGGCGCGGCGATGCCCCCGTATACTGCGCCCCCGCAGTAATGTAAACTACGGCAACAATTTTACCTTTTTAATCTTATCCTTCTTCTTGTGCGGCTAATGTGGATCGAATTGCTATCAGAACCAGTGTTCAGCTATTTGTAAAGGAGGAGAGTGCAAAGTGGTGAGGTAGATCGTTTCCTGATGGTGCCATTAATGTCAGTCACCGGGTTTACTCGTCTGGCCATATCTTTCATGGTACTGTGTGCTGGTCAGTGACTCCGCAGCTAATAATGTGCGTCCAAAAGACTTCTAAAAGCCCAGGAGTACAGAATGTTTTGTACAAGGGAACAACACGGATAATGATTTCGTAATTGTGGGTACTAAGAAACGTCAAGCTTGTTGGTGAATCCTACCGGTTACATATAGGCTATATTTAAGATCACAACCGGTAACCCACGAATTAGGCCGACCATCTAGGGAGGCTGCCATATTTACTAGTCAATACTAGTCATGTTCGCGCGGAACAGTTTTCCGGCAAATCACATTGCGATGGAGTCTGTGGAGAGATCTGAACACCTACTGAACGCTCACTTGTCGGAAATTTTCTATTGGCGAGAATACTTGATTCTTGGGCGGGCGTACTCCGAGCAATCACCACACTCGCAATTCACGCGATCATGAGCGGTTTGACTATGGGCAGAATTGGCAGACCAACAATCTTCCGCTGTAGATCTGCGTGAATCCTAAGGACTAGATGGCGAATTAGCTCATTCATATGTCGAAGTGCTTCCATCTTCTTTCACTTATTATTTCCCATTCTTGACGCATCCCTGCTAGTATCATCGGCAGGAGTGGTCGAGCTTCACGTCATCGTGAAGCAGCTACCAAACTTCCCTGAGTGGTAGGTTGGATTCCCTCACATGATTTATGCTGTCTGTTTGGGGCAAGAGTTCAAAATACGGACGCTGTAATTGAGCCGGCTTCTCTATCATTGCCCCCTTCTCGGCTGGTCACTTCTGGTTAGCCGGTGGCCACGACGGCTAGATATACCACATCGATATTGTCTCAACCCGTCAATACGAGGCTTCTGTAGATGCCCGCTACCGGTCTCCTCTGCATGGTTCACCTTATGATGTCTTTCCGTTTTACCTGCGTATAACCTAACGGACTACCACTGAATTTGCCGAGAAGCTTCTACTACATGTAAGGTTCTTTTAAGCAGCGGACCAGGAGCTCAGGTCATTTTAATCTCCGGTGTTGTCGACGCGAATATCGGTAGGCTTATCGGTAATGCTCCTCGCAATGGTAAAACAGCGGGGAGTTTCGGACAATTCCACACCATTATTGAAATCAGTTCTGACGGACGATTGTCTAGAACACTCGAATACTCTTGTCAGGTTTGTTATTGGGTCTCAGGGGTCACTTGCCATGATTCAATAGTGTTACGTTTTGGTTGCATTACGCCTTTGCTGGTGAAGTACCTAGGGTATATTTAGGTCCTGCATTGCCAATATCGCTAGTGACGTTAAATGGATTTAGCGGCCTTGTGACTGGAAATAATTGGTTGGACGGTAGGTACTTCGATCATGGGGGCATTACACTATGATGTCTCGGACTTGTGCAATGAATGCCGTTTTATCTTCCAGTGAGAACAGCGCTTTCTCTGTTTCCTTTTGAATGGCTAAACCTACAAAGTTGACGGCCTGTAGGAAATGAGAGTGAACACATGGCGATGAACTGATGCAAATGGCATTCGGAAGTGTAGACACTACGCAATGCTTGCGGTAGGTTGCAGATAACATTGAAGTTGTCTGCAATGATGTGTACTTTGTTTGACTGCTCCCCATGTCTGTTGATATACCACACTAGGTGATGTATGCTGTCGGTTAGCAGTCATGTGTACGCACTAGAATGGATTCAACTTATTCTCCAATTAGTTTTCTCAGTCGAGATTGTTTTGCAGCTTCTGATGATCCATAGAACTGCTTTTACTCGTAATCTAGCAGAAAACCCAACCGATACGTCTTAAGTTAGACGTAACTATGGGTATCGGAAAGCCCTAAAGTCTTATTCCTTGGTCCACCGGGAAAAAATGAACTGAGCTCCGGTTGGAAATCCTAGCCGACCCCACTGTTGAACTGAATTGGTAGGTCTTGGATGCTCTCATTAGACCACTGATGTCTTAAACATTACCCTCCCAAGGCCTCAAGCTCCCATGTTTCTTAGGTCGATTGTCATGATAAGACTGGTTCTGTTCAGCTCAGCGACCCATTAGTCCATATTGAAGATGCCACATCAATAATCGAAAGTCCCCGACTAGTTTGGTTCAACGATAGATATCTGTAAAGGATTAGCTGAGCCCTCCAGATTAGAGTTGGAACAAATCTCTATTTATTCCCTAAAATGAACCACCATGGTGGTCGGGTTTCCGAACAACAACTAAGTGATAAACATTCCCTCTCATGTGCAAGTCTGGACGTCCCGATTATTATTACTATTATCATAATGGGGTGGTTCCTCGCTCCGCGTCCAAGTATCACATACTCAAATAAGTGCACTTTCCTTCCATCTCGACCATCGCACAGCGACAATCCGAGTCACATCTGTTGCAGGGTGGATCACTGCCGATGTACGACTGCTGACGTCCCATATTGTTCTTGACCATTTTCTCGAAACGCTTTCACTGTTCCATTTACAGATCACGGTTGCGAAATCTCGCTTGTAAATGCCTCACCCGGGCACTCAGAAATGAACAGGTTCATGCCATGCTCACATTTACCACTTCGTAACCATCGTTCTCGCACTTTTATGGCGATTTTTTGTCGGAATTTTTAGGGACCTGTCTGACTTGCTGTTCTTATGTGCACACGAGATAGTCTATCGTCCGATGTTTGTTTCATTTCTGATTGAAGTGCGTTAACGGAGCTTGCGGCATCATTCTTCCGAAACTGATGCCTACGAATTCGATCTGCTGAAGCGAGTAGAACCTGGTTTTCTTTTGCCAAATCCATGGTAGAAGCTTTGCTAACCGGTTATCCACTATCAGCCTTCTCTGTGCTCTTCGTCTGTCCCTTCCGTAAAAACTCACGGCTCTCGAAGCGCTAAACCTTTGCTTGTATTGTTCTACTTTTGCACGAACCAATATGAGCTACGATCCAGTGAGGTATTTTTAACCGAGTTCTAACCACTCACAACAAGGCCCCAGACCTAGTCTTATCGGCTGGTGATTTCAGCACAAGGCGCTACTTGATGGTATTTTCAAAAGCGTAGCAGGGTATTTTGACGAGACCTCCAAAAATGTATATGGTTTGTCAGCTGGCTTTCAGATTCGCTGCTCGGTGTGGGAGTAGTAGTTGCCGTTACGATAGCTGCCTGTTTACTAGCCAGCAATCTTGTAGTTGAGTGGATAATAAATGTATGACAGTGGACAGTTTAGGACCCAGGGACGACCAGTCCATGACTTACGACGAAGTATGGTTGCCCGGACCAATCAACTCAGCCGCCTTGCACTAGATGGGGACCGCAGAACGAAGCAAACCAGTGGTTGGTGGCCCCAAAAATGTCAGTCGGTCATTGACAATACTTCCTCAACGCTATCACCTTCACTGTGTAGCTCCATCAATTCCTGTTATATCGGACAAACAGAGCCACTTGTTGTCAATGGAGTGATTGGGCCATCGAACCCAACGCGTGACTGTTACCATCTCTTTCCTTTATTTTCGGTGAACCAAACTGTAACAGCCGGAGCCATTGTGCTTCGGTACGTAGTTTATAGACTTAAAAGCCGAGCTGAGATGGTGTGTTCTTTCCAGACATCTGTCATCAGTTTCGTTCCCGGTGTCCCACTGTGCAACTAAATTCAGATTAGGCTCGTTTTGTTCCAAGAAAAATCATCTGGGCTCGTCTCAACGATGGGTTTCCTTCGGCTAGTGTCAGCCAGCAATCCACTGTCGTGTTGTGACTGCTTTAAACGCGGGTTGACGGTTGAGGAGCTTGGATTGGTATCTTCCAATGCGTGCTCAGCTTATAATTCTGTTTATTCCAGCTCAGGCGGTCCGTACCACGTGCTTAAGATGAATCATTACGCAGTCAATTCCTGATCGTTTGGGTGAATTGCACTACAGCACTCCTGTTTTTTGAGCCACAGGAGAGTTGACCTCGCTACCACGCCCACAATTGCAAGTGGAGGGCGATGCCAATAGTTCTCATGTGATCCTGTGACCATGCATACATGTTCAAGTGCGCGCGTGTATGCATAGGATTGTCAGACAACTGAGATGAATGTCATGGTTCTGAAGAGGTGTAGTTTCCACAGCAAAATTGTTCGCATAACGTTAACAAACAACTCTTGATGAAAGCGGACTATCAGTTATGCTTCAAATCCCTGGAAGTACGTTTCTAAATTCTATCCATGTATTTATTTCGAAATTCCTTACACCTTACGCCTGAAAGCTCTGAAGTCTCAGAAAGATCACCGATCAATGTAGGCATCGTTATATATAGGCTGTAACAGTTTTGAACCGGTAAGTGTCGGATTTGTGTTCTACGGAACTCAAAATCGAAATCTTAACTGTTATCAGCCTGGCTGACGAGAACTGGTCAGTTAATAACGCGATAATTGGGATTTATTAAGGACAGTTTGTGAATTAGCCGTCGCATTGGAAAGTGTATTCTCGTAGGATGGGTGTACCTTTCCATGTAAAAGTTTTCTGGTATTTTCACAAAATCGCTCTAAGATGCCAAGATGAACTGGAAGGATGGAAATGCAAGGATTACTTATAGTGAAGTTGGTATGCCTCAGCGGGTGTCCAGGCAGTAACCTGAAGCACGAATCGTTGTGCATCCCTTTGAAGTCAACTCTAGATCTCCATCGGGACGTCCAACTTACTGTCGGACCACCCTAGTAAGGACTTAGTAGTAAGAATATCAGGATGTATTAAGACGCCATGGCCAAACCCTGTGATACATCATTCGATGTGTCACAACTTGCCATTACGTCTAGGTATAATGATTCATAAGGAGCGCTAGCGCTCTGCCTAGCTTTTAGGTGTGATGAACATCATGCTCCTCGCATTTACACCCAACTCTTTCAACTGCTAGTCGAGATGAATGAGACCCCAAACGATGGTCATTATGAATCGAGATGCAAATATTCTCGACAGTAAATCGTTCTAGGCTCGCCATACATGTTTTCGAACTGTGTTACAATTCTGCCAAGAATCACATCTTTTTTTCCAGTTAAAATGATTTTGAGTGATAGGTTTGAAACCTCTTTAATCATTGATTAGTATGAAGCTAGTTTTGCCACATCTGTTTGCTGAAGCATGCCTGTAATCTTGGGAGGCCGGCGCAGCGCACTTTCCAATTTGGGGTATCACAGGGATTTGATGAACGATACTGGTACCTTCATCGGAGACCATACATCGGTGTTGTCACGTGCCAAACAGTTGATGTAGCTGACTGGGCCTAGAATTATCAGTTTCCTTCTTGAACAGTCTCTTCGAAAAGCTCTCTTACTGATTAACTATAGGAATCTAGGCTTCACATTCCAGGTTACCTTAATGTATATAATGTCTTGTTTAGAAAGTTCTCATCTCACGCCACAATGTTCAGTCTTCATTGAACAAGTTGATGAACCCGCTGTTCATGTCGACTAAATGTCCGATCCGACTAGGATTCTTGCTCGTGGAACTCTAATCACTGAGGGACCGGATGTCCCTCACGGCGGGCGTTTGGACGGTTGCGTTTGTGAGCACCATCGCTACTCTGTATGCAATGTGATCTGTCATATAGGTATGCTGGAGCTGCTGATTCGATGAGTTTGGGTGATGATAAATGCGTGCATATAGCGATTAATGCAGATACGGGTGTGATCTGGGTGTTTGTGTGTGCCGAAACTGATGAGGGTCAGGCGCACTTAATTTTGAGTTGTTGCAAACCGTTATTTAAAACCCAATTCGGATTTTCTTGACAGAATGCGTTACTCATAGGGTCACTGGAAACTTTTTGAATTCAAGAGCACAGGTGGTTCATCACCTTCAAGATATAGGTTGATGAACATTTCCGAAGTTTACCGTGAGATCTTCAAACGCAGCATCGAAGCAAACCGATTTTTCTTTGCATGTTCTGAATGACTCTATGAACAGAGAAGCCGTAAATTTTCAAACAATGGGATTCCTACCGAGGCTGTCTCCCCAAGGACCCTACAACGGAATTTCTTACGCCATAACAAATTGTAGGATGACTCCGTCGGAACACGGACATAAAGAGACTGACGATTGTTTAGCAGTGCAGACTTAATGGAGTCCAGTCTACTATGATCGATCAACCAGTCTCATGCATCAAACACGGATGTGCTGCTGCGCTGGGGTTCGAACTCACGCACTGGTCACATTGCTAATTTGCAAAGCAGAATCAGTTTTCACGAAATAGCGGTGTTCTAACGGCATTCACAGTTTCTGGAACAAGACAGTATCTCAGACCTTTTGCTCACCTTATCATCGTTTCCAATAGAAGTGCATGTTCGAACTGTGCAAACAGTTTCCTAATTAGGCCTGAAAATGACGGTTTCGTTGTGGCCAAGGTCAGTAACAATCTCAGGCTCGTGTTAAAATAGTTACAAGCACCAAAACGCTGTTGCGTTGCTATGTCTTTTCCACTCCAGCCGACATAGCGGCTTGGCTTCACAGTGCACGCTCTACGACCCAACAGGAAGGACAACCTAACGTGCCATAATGACCAAAAAGTTGGACTGGTTCGGACGATATGTGAGTAGCAGGTACTGAAGATTATAGCATAAAATGTGATCAGTCAGCCTCAAATCTACGGGACAGATGTTAAGGTAGAAGCAACGAAAAACATACGGGTTGCTGCTGTTTGGTAGCAGACAAAAAAGTGTCTTTATGGTGTTAAAAATGCCCTGAATCTAATATCGCCTTATTTTGCGATCCTATGCTGCAAACAAGGAACTGAACTGGACCATACAATCGATCAGCTCTTAGGGTAGTAGCGAAGTAAATCTTTATTCGGATGCTGAAGGGATTTTACCATACGAAGGACGAAACGCCAAGTTTTCCACATTTTTATTTCCGTTCTTGATCCCAATTTCGTGAATTGCTACGTTCACACCCACAGTTTAGGTTTCTTCTGTCAGTATCACTTTCTCGTAAACAATTCACGGTCGACGGGAATATACTCTACCGATTTCATTTTGATACTGAATCACGAACCGATCAGCACCTCACCGCCTTATACCTCTCCAAAAACAACCTTCAGAAACCACCGGACAAACTCATACTGTATCAGTGATTGTCGAGCATTCCAGCTAATCACCCCTTAGCACACAATAGATGACGTACATTATTTTACGTATAACACGCGGACACTGAGATGTATCACAAATTGCGAAACATCGGTTCCATTGAAAAATCCCATTAGAGACAACCACCTTGGGAAAACATCGCTCCCAGAAAGATTGCCTTTTCAAAGCTTCACTGCTTATTTCTGAAGTATTATTCCGAACATCACATACTTTGATACAACCTTGATGGTTTTGAAAAATGGATCTGGGGGTTTGGATGCGCTGAGACCGTTAGTAAATATTTGGATATCATCTCGGTGTACGAGCGGATGAAGTCCTCACTGGTAGTCTTGTAAACCGATTCACTTTTGATCCTTACAACCGAACGTGATGAAGGCTTGGTTGCGGTACCAAGTATTTGCCTAATTCTACACAGGATATCCAGACTTGAGAACCAAGCGACTGCAATCTACTCGGCTCTCATCACCGATAATTTCACACATGTATCTACAATTGCGGGTTTAGTCGCAATTAAATAAACCACTCCGGTGGCAATACGTTATCAGCTCCACTCGGTTGAAGATACCTTGGTTGACTCGACAACACCGATGTAGCTGATCTCCGGAAGTGCGACGAAGGGATAGGACTGTACGTGCTTTGTGGTTGGTAGTTTTGCTCAGACTGCCGTCGATCGAAAACCGATTTCACATTCGCATTAAGTGTATTGATTTCCTATGAAAGAAAATAACTAACCGGATAAATGGAGTGGTTGATCTCGTTCAGATTATCAAACATCACTGTTGGATGGGTTCAGGCTTTTGATCTCAGCTTGTACAGTGTATATCTTGGCATCGGACGACTTCACGTTAAAACATCAAGTGGATTACTGAACCAATTTCACGATTTACGCGCAAGACCACAAATCCTCTAGTCGATTAGTAGAAAAAACGTATAGTTCCCCAATAAATAAGCTCCAACCAACCTGTAGCTTGCTAACAATGCTATGAGTCGTCGCGTGGAGCTGCCAAACCCAACAGTTTCTTACATTAGGCTATTTTTATTTCCAAGATGACAAGTTCCATATATATGTTCTAGTGTTTTCTTGTGATAGCTTATTTGTTCCTTCTCCTGAAAAAAGCACCTACCGGCAAAGACTGATTTCGTCCGGTTATATCAAGCGGTTTTTCACATAATGCCTTTTGCCGCAATAATTGGTGGTGACATCGCGTAACAAGGAGGCTAACTGAAAACGCTTGAGAACTGCGAATTTGGGCTATTTAACGCGCAGCCTTCGAGCAAAACTTATACGCGACCAACGTGGAAGTTATAAACAAGCGATTTCGTCAGCCTTCTCATAGTTATCCATTGCGTATGAGGTAGAAAGGCGAATACACTGACCGCGCGAAACGACATGCACTGGTTGATACGTAGAATATGCGACTAAAGTGTAGCCGAACCTACAAGCTCCCTGCATCGTTTATTCGTCGTGTCCATCGGCAGGCATCTCTGTCGTATAAACCAGACAGCGCGAAACTACAACGTTGGGTCGCGAGGATACTTCCATATTTCTCTAGACACTAGGGGAATAATAGGTAGGTTCGTGAAAACAACTGTATCAACAATATGTTATTAATAAAAGATCTGCGGAAATAAATTCAGGTATGAAAAATAAGTTTGCTAAAAATCCTCTGAAAATGATACGTCCATCGTGTCCATCACACCACACAATATTGATCGTCCCTCCGTCACGCTCGGTTCGCTGAACGAAAGAGGGTCATCGTTTGGCTGTGCGATGTTATTGCCCTGCTGAGGTTTACTGCAAAGAACGTTAGGTATAGGCCAAGCTGTAGCCAAGGGGGATGAGAAAGTGGACAAGAACGGGAAGTTAAGAGGTAGGTCAATATGAAGTGGCTTGTGGAACAAACTTAGCTGTTGTGCTGCCAGGCGAAACGCAGTTATGGGAAAAATATGAGGACTCAACTCACACGCAGTTCGCGGTACTCATTCCCAAAACAAGTTGGCTGGTGATGTGAACCCACGGTTAGGTTGAAGTGCGAAATCTGAGAAACCCTATCCAGAATGTAGGTCCTGACATCTTGGGATAGCTCAGTGATTTAGGCGCAAACTTACTGACCATAAAGTACGTGGTTTAAACCCGATTCCGGTATATCGACTGCCTCTGTCCAGATTTGAGTAACCTGGCGGTATCTCACCCGCCGTGTTTTCTGCCAGGCAGTTCGTACACTGTGAATTCCGAGTGGGACCGTCAACACGAGCCACGGAAGCCCTGTCACGAGTTGTTACAAATCTAAATAAAGAACCAAGATTCAAGTAGATCATAAAGTTGACGGAAACTCGGGGACTGCGCCTACCTGATGAGCCCCAAGAAGGGCGAAATCGGTCGTGGGCTGTCGAAGAGTTTTCAGCAACCTTATGAGTAGTTTCCTTTATGAACTATCCACTAGTTTATCAAATTTTTCAATATCCACTAATCGACAAACGTGAGTTTGTTTGGGATTGGTCTTCTTATTGTAAAACTTTGCGCACTAAGGGGAGACAGTTCCGATACCGGGCCGTTTACGTAAGAAATACTCAAATACCTGAAAAGAAATGTTTCTGATCTATGAATTACGAATCCTGATCCGCTGTTGGACATCTCTAACGTCTACTGTATGGATCGGTGTCGGATATTGGCTCCGGTTGAAAGACGATCCACCGGCTACGAGGAGTACCGTGGCTGTTGGGGCACACTTCAGCCATCTCCGCTAAAAGTGGGCTTCTGGCTTTTTTGAAGTTTTCTGAGTAGAGGCCGTCAGGTCACAACTGCAAGGTGGATCGTCAGACGCTGGTTGAAGCTGACTGTGGTTGTTGATCAGTGGGAAATACCGGCGTCACTAACAAGGTTAACGACTCTAAACCCAGCGGAACATCCGCTTTTTATCGTCTCCCAAGGGTTTATTCACGCTTAAACAACACGGATCTATCACTATTTCCACAAAACTAAGTTAAAAAAAGTATGAGCCTTTAACGGACAGCAATATACCTAGTTCCAAATTGTGATCACGTTTCAGAGATCGATCGGGTCATGCAAACGTACCAAGTACAGTGCTAATGAAAGTGTAACAAAAAGTAGATGACCGAACACTAGGACCGCCGTAATGTTCCACTAGCCCGTGGGATTAAATTGGTGACAATCTGTCATTAAGGTAAGACGCTGTCTGTAGACCAAGTTCGAAGCCCGATATTCTAGGATGCTGATGATTGACAAACCACATCATAGCCGAGGCACACGTTTCCTGAAAGTGTTTGTTTTACTACTGCTAAGAGACCGTATGTGATACCGGACCGCACACAAGTGTCACAAGATCAACCGGCGCACGTAGCAAATTGAGAAGTAAATGAAAGACAGAAAAAGCAACTCGGAAGAGATTATGCTCGAGATGACACAGTTGATTAGGGACTGACGAGTCCAATTCGGTAACAGGGTTATCCAACTTTAGCGGTTAATAAAAGTTTCCAACAAAAACATTAACGGAATTTTTGCCTTCTAGTTTGTATTACACTCTTATGAAACGAGCGTACAGTCTGGTAAGTAAGTGGGAAGTACCTAGACCCATCTGACCTCAAACTGAGAAGTGCAGTTATACGGCAGCCTAGGTTTGAAGGCCCAGCGCGGCTGGTGTGGATCATGGACGATGAAGTTTGTCTGGACCAGTAGAGTCGTGGCAGACTTCAGGAAAAACGACCAGCTACCCGAAATTGGTTAAGAATTCGATTGCGAAGTGAATGCCATCTTCCGTTGCAGACAGAGGATCAAGAGGGGCAGGTATACCCTTTTTGAGACAAATAATACCCTTGTGTTTAGATGGTTTGGCGGAGACGACAATTTTGTATCCTTAGAGGTAGACCACCTGTCTTCAAAAGCGAGACATCCCAACCACTTCTTTTCACATGAACGGCATTCGTGTAATCAAAGTCAGAATGATAAAATGGAGTTAAACTCATTGATGGGACAAACCAACACCGTTTTAAATAACTTGATGTACTCTGTCGACAATGGCCATACAATCCCTGCCAAATGAAAGTTAGCAACATGATCTATCGTGGCTACATAGGAGTAATGCACTCGTTATCGCGGTTGTTGTCGAGCCTATATCGACCAACTACTGTGTAGTCAATTAGCATACACGGGTAGCTTGTCTTCCGGATTGTGTTTAAGCCAGAAAAGACCGCGTAGACCCGGGTAGACAGTTCTTATCACGAGGGTAAGATATATTATTCAGAGGGACAGGCTGAAGACACAAACTGGGCTACCTAGCATACACAACTTGGGGTCAAAGCAATTTGATCGACTCACTCTGTGACCGGAAGTCAAGCGCCCGGCAGTCTGGATCAAGACACTTTTGATAGTAGAAACCCTGCAGTAAATCGAACACAATTCTGTAAAGTGGTACAAAGGGAAACAAAATGAAAGCTCAAAGAGAGGAAATACATTTGGAAATAGAGTCCAAAAGAAACACGCAGACAGACAAACATGGGAATAGGCCTGAAAGAGTAAACTATTAGGTGGTAGGGAATGAAAGAACTGAAGCACTGTATACCACCACAGGTATCGTGTCACTAACTTCATCCTCATGGACAAAACATCAGTTGAGTACAAGGCCCCTTATTGAACCCAGCCAAATGAATTTTCAGTCATTGTCTCAGGTAGGCGTTCGTTTTGAGAATGGATACAGCCGTTTCTCCTCTGGTGACCTAACTGGAGGTGCTAAAAACCGTCCGGGAGTGGTCTCCATATGGCAAACCGATTGTATCCCTCTTGGCGACTTTTTTCAACTCTCTCATGGGCCCCAATGACTTTTAGGTTGTCTTTTTGCGAATGGAAATCCAGTTTTTGTCTGAATTTTTGGAACAACCACAACGATACCTAACAGACATACTGCACTGCGAAGTGATCACATGCCTAAGTCTGGGTCGGTAGGTGTCACACATAATGTAACAATATTCGAACGTCTATACATTCAAGCTCTTTGGCTCGGCCCATGTCATAGCGCACTCCAAAACCTTATTGCAGGCGAGCTACGAGATCACAGCGGCTATTGAGCAATAGCTTTAAGATAACCCATGGTGGTCAACAGTAAGTACGGATCGCAAGACCTTTGGAGTTTCAGCCTACAGCCCTGTCCCGACTGAGCGCTCTGAAGTTGAGAAAAATGGTGAGTTGGTATGTGACAGCTACCAGTGAAAGGAAGAAGGCCTTCACTGTGGAGTTATTAATTGGAAAATACCAACTGATCAGTTGCAGACTATTGGACTATTGAGGGAAAACTGAGTACCCGTCTCCTCGAACGCGTCTTCCCGAACTTTCCTGGATAATCATCGACTATCAATCAAATTTAAACAAATGCTGCAAAGCAATTCCACAAATTCTGTAATAAGTCTCACTTTTCAATAGACGCGAAGCGGATTTACGAGAAAACCACATCCTACTCACATGCCTCATCAGTAGTAACCACTGTCACACCAGTGGAGTGTAATAGTAGTATTTGAGTGTAAATAAGATGATTTAAATGCTCTATTCTCCTAGACATGTCTCTGTCTGGACTTGGCGATTGTTATGGGTCCTGGCTACTTCAGGGTAGAAAAATTGAGGAAATAAAAGGCATCTGAGGGGGGTGTTTTTACACGGAGGACCCTGTAAAGAAATGATTGTATTAAAACCTACGGTTTTCAGCAGCTTTCCCAGAAGAAAAAGGACCGATCAATAGGACACTCATTGCATAAGCAACACAGTTTTAAACGAGACTTACATCACATGGTTGCTGCGATGAGCTCGACCGACGCGTTCGCAGAATCGGAGCTCATCAGTTGTAACAGTGAAATGTTGATCGTCAAAACCATGAATCTTCCATCGAGTTGACAAAACACGATCCCGTGCTGCATAACTCAAATCCTTCTGACACCAATCACTTAAAACTGTTAAAATGAATTGACGCAAGTCATCTGATAGGTGGATTGGCTCACATGAAGAAATCGCCGTCCCCTCCACCTCACAGTTGTACTTACGAAATGATGCGTGAGCGATATTTACAGAAGACACACAGGAACAATCAGCAACTGGTCGTCTCAGCAGTTGTGCTTTTCTGAGAGAGCGCGAAAACAGACAATACAAAAGGATACGCATAAAAATCAATCCAATTGGAGCGGAAAGCGGTAGCACAGCTGCAAGGGATCGATCGCGATTAGGTTTTCTGTTGCTCTTACATCATCGCTATCTGCGCTTCACTGGTGAACAACCATCAAAGTCTAGTTAGGAAATCTTGTTGCTAATGCTACTCTAAAACAAGCATCCTGCGACACATACTGTTCTGAGCAAGTATTCCGTGTGGAAGTTGACGGTAGGGCCACTGTGCACAGTTGTTTTTTTCGTGATTCGTGACAATAGTGACCACAGAACTCGTTGCCACAGCGAGCACCAGTTGAGGACAAATTGGGTTTCACATCACCTCTACATCGACTACCTATAGTGTTCTTCCGTACACTGCAGAAGATGAACCCCTGTTACATAACAAGGTAGAGGGTACCTACCTCACCGGACCACCTTTCCGCGTGTATACTCAGCAAGCAACGCATGGGCAAAAACAAAAGCGGTATCCATGAATTCCTTGACTCTAGGACCAATGACGCCGAGACTATTACCTCCAGCTACCGCTCTGATTAATTTTGTAGGAGTAACGGTTGGACTGGATTGTGACTACAATCCTCATCGTGGAACAGGAACCCACTTTACGAGTAAAGTGAAATTCCTATGTCACGTTATGGTGGCCATTTTCTTTTTTTGTGGGGGGGGGAGGGGAAGAAATGTTACGCGATTCCTACTGCTACTTCCGGCAGTAGCATCGAGGGTAAACCTGTCCTCCACCCAAGGTCAGTTGCCTTTCTTACACTAAGGCATTCAGGAATATAAAAGTATACGTGGTGGTGGGTTAGTCGCCGGTCTCTGTATGATATCGAGGCATACAACTACACCTTAGTGTTGAAATGGGGGTTCAGGTATGCATACAAAAATCCAAAGTACAGAACTGACTAAACCAGGGAATAATGGCACTAGCGTCAGAAGATGGGGAATCGAGGCTGTGCGCAAAGAGAGGCGTATGTGGTTATCTCCACTGCAAAAAGCAGGGTGCAGGTTAAGTCGAATGAGAACTGCCTGCCTGAAACCGTGAAGTGAGAAAAACGCATCGAACTAGCATCGCATCAAACAGTGGGTTAAAAAAACATATGCGCTCATTTGAAAATAATCTGGTTTTGATGGGAGATGCAGTTGAGTCCCAGGTGGATCTCTCGTTCATCAATGTGGTGTACAATGGCCACCTCATGTACCAGCTGGGTACACGTAGCCCATAATTTTGACGAAAACCGCGGGCGTGTGTCAACCTGATGAGCCCCAAGAAGGACGAAATCCATCATGAGCTGTTGGACTTCTCACCAACCCTTTTCACTTGGGACCCCATACAATTCTCTTCACGAACCCTATGGCGTCCACTTCGTTGGTTGCGCAAGACTGTTTTCACTGGCAATTCAAGAACGAAAGACAGCCAATAAGGAGTGTAAGAGATTTCCGGCCTCAACAGTATGTTACCGGGGTTTGGCGCTTCATTCTAGCCTAGTCTAGCTGATTATACCGTAAGCATTGTAGAAATACGTATGAAATACGGTGTGGCAGTACACAGGATGGACCTCAAAGTCATTTTGTACTAGTCGTTTACAAAAGCAGCCGAAACAATCGTGAAATTAGTTAAGGTCTAAATTTACTGAAAAACAAAGACGCATGACCCGATTTTGTTTGCTAGAAGATCAGCAGGTCCTTGAAAAGGAAACCGTTACTGGATAAATACTCTTGTGTTGAAAGAATATACAGTCAAGAGAACGAAAGAAAACGTAAAGGATAGGTAAAAGTAACTTACGTTGGATAGCAAACGTATGTGACTAGAGTGTGCGCCCATTGCTTCCAACTTGTCCAAACAAGGTCAAAGGCACACGTTTCACTCGCATCCACGGGCCACAAAGCACTTGTTCCAGTCAACTTACGAGAACCCGCAAGACGAAAATTTCGGTTACGAGTATACACACCTGTATCACAAATACTGACCAACGGAGGTGCGTCGTCACTGGTTGGGAGAACTGGTGGGTGGACGAGACATTGCCTCGCATCCGTGGGATCAATTCCAGCGTCTGGGAGTATTGAATTCGCTAAACGGTTCACAGTGGAAGTACATTTACTACACTGCCGCCTCAAGATGGCCTCGTAGGCAGATGATCCAGAGGAGCTCAGAAGCCACAAAGCCGAACACAGCAACTGAATAAGTTGACCTGAATACAACAAGCAAGCGTAAGTCGAGATAGGAAAATTCAAGCTGCTATCTACAATGCGACTATAGAGCTCTTAGTAATTATGGTGTAGTGCGGTACAGAGCGATGTAGTATGGTATGATGACATATAAGATTGCCCTCCGTAAAGCGCGAACACTCCGGACTTATCTGTGCTTTCTTCTATCGGAAGCAACGTGATGTTACACGAGAAATGTTCGGTTTTCCTGACAGGAACGGTTAGCTTGTTTCAACAGACTAGTGCGGTACAACTAATAAGGAAAGGTAGTTTACAGTTCAGTCATTTGCAAAGGGTATGACAGTCGAACAACGGAACTGATAAGCACGGCGCTTAATAGAAATATCGGCTTTGATTGGAATATAACAGTCCTACATGTATTATCACTAGTTGATGTCAGTTCAGTTGAATTACGAAGACTTGGTTGATGGTGCAATTTTCGAGGTATGATTCAACGTCTGTCAGTGGAAGCCTAAACAATTTAAGCAAACTAAAGCTGGGGTGCTTCTAAAACTTAAAAAAAGCTTACCTTGCTCTAAATTGTTCTCAAAGACTGCTTCAGGAGAGTTGAAAACAGCATGCTGACTGAACTTTTTCTCCGTACTGGAGTATAAAAGCAATGAGATCAATTACGATAGAATGGTTTATATTATAATAGGTACCCAAACACGTCTCAATTAGAATGAACGCAGCGTTTCTCGTCTTCAGGACAGCGTCCCTGCTGAGGATCCGCTTCCAAGAGCATATCGGCTCTAGTTCCGCATTAAGAGAAATATACCAACTCCCCCAAGAGAGCCAGAGAGCAGCTTGAGCACTCAGCGTGAAAAGCGCTCTCGGTGCATATGTCATTGAGTCAATGCCAAAAAAGGCTTCAGTGACTTTCATAAAGTAACTGCTGACAACCTAGGGGACCCATATTGTCAGATGTGCACAGAGTCATTCTGTTTGATGAAACACCGTCCATGGTGTGCACACTTCATGGTCGAAAACCTGATTTGAGGCACAGCAAATGTCGTACACTTTTATAAGAACACCATTATATGAGAATGCTCCAGAAAGTATAGCTCTTTTCAGAATTGGCAATACACGGAAGGAGGTATCGATAATATTTGTATCCAATTCTAGACAATATGAAACTTCGTTTGTGGACAGGTTTCAGAATTTCAAAATGCTCTCTGAGAAGCAGGTATGCTAAACGACGGATCACCGAGGAACTAAACCAGTTCACAAAAGTGGAGAGGGAAGAGCCTCATTTTCAGAAATCGCAAACGACCAAGGGACAGCGTGCACTTGAAAGCGTTTCGCACTTTTGACTTTTTCAAACGCAAAATACAAACATCGCCGAAATTTTAATAACGAACCATTTGATAAAAAATAATCGTTCAGCTGTAGCACCCTTCTGGTGCCTGGCTACCATGCCACCCGAAAGAAACACGAGGGCTGGGATAATACCAGGTTGCCCAAGCCTACAAAAAAGTGAGAAGCAGAGGTTGAGTTCGAACCACGGACCTTCCGGTCAGTAAATTCGCGCTCCAACCAAGGAGCTATCTCGCCCCCAATCATCATTTAATGAAAGACATTTGTCTTCCTCCAACTGGTTCTCTGCGACGGAAACACGTGGCTTTACTTCCAGTAAACCGAAACGACGAGTCATTGATGCAGATCTCTTCAAATCAGTTGGCTTTCGTCACGTGTGGCAAAGTGCTACAAAAGTGCGCCACTCAAGAGGATGCGCGTTCTTCCAGGGTGGGCATTGAGTCACATGAGTTTTTCTAACACGACTTAAAAGCACGATCCGGGTTCCAGAAGACCATCATCTGCTTCTATGTAGAAAGAGTGCATGAGCCTAGGAAACTCCTCAATCTGACCACGTGGCTCAAGTTACGAAATTTAGCCTACTTGGTGGTTCCCTTACCAAATCGTCAGGATAACCGCTCAGCTGCGGCACCCTTTCGGTGCCAAGCTGCCATGCCACCCAAAGGTTGCACGAGGGCTGGGATACTGCCAGGTTGCCCGAGCCTAGACAAGGGGAGTCGAGTGGCAGAGGTCGGGTTCGAACCATGGACCTCCGGGTCAGTAAATTCGCGCTCTAACCACTTGGACCACTTCGTTAGGAGACCTGATATAACTGCAGTTCACCGAATTTATCTGAGGCTCCACCGAAAATAGAGAACACATGAACAATCCGTAAGAAAGCAGTTTGTGGCAATGTGAATTAAAAGCGATTAATTTCAGTTGCATATGTCGTCATCAGGTGTTGACAGAGATCGCATTTAGTCAATGGTTAGTGACTTTGATCAGTCGACATGCTATACCGGCGTTTCCAAGCAGCTAATGTCAATAGGAGACGGCGTGATACGAAAAGTCCAACATCGAATCCAGTTTAGTGGAATAAAATGTTATCATCGGACGTTTCAGTTGCCGTGGGCAACTTTTCTACGGGCTTCTACAATCAGTGTAGTTAAACACAAACGAAGGGTTGCTTTTTGAGCGCAGGCAAATTACATAAAGTGTCTTGTTTGAAAATTAAAGAGAATCACCTTGCATCGAGTAGAATAACTTGTTCAGGATCGAACTCCGACTTGTAGAAATATTTGAGCACCGAGCACAGAGCCTGAAGGAAAGAAGCGAATCAGTGAGTTGGTCACCCAGTAAATTGATAAGTCGGTAACCTCCATTAGGATTGTGTGTAACTACCGCAACTTGTCCACAATAATTGAAAGACTCAAGCTTGTGGGACCATGATTGGAAAACAGTAAGGAAACTATAGCTGACGTGCTGAATCGAGATTCGAATCATTGGTCAACAGATACTGTTGGCTGTGGATGTTAATTTCGTTTCCAGCCTCTAGAGAGTAGGTTTCGGCAGGCTGGAATACTCATGACCAGGATTTTCTTCAAACGCTTCAAGCAAACAAGGGCTGTTAACCGCCGTACTATCTTGTTAAAATATCTTGGCAGTGTCCAAAATAAGCCTTGTGCGTTTAAAAATGTCTCGAGGCAAATTCAGGGTGTCAGGCAAAAGCCCAAGTAACACATTCGAGAAAGCAACAAACACATGGAAGCTCTCAGTTATTTTTTAGGGACTGTTAACAGCAACATAAACACGTTATGGTCATTTTAAGGTGACGAACTTGTACGTTTTGAAAGAAAATCAGTTAGCACAACTAGCCACCCTGCCCCCCCCCCCCCGGAGGGGGACGCACTCCAGGTTAGGAGACACCGATCAAGGACGACTCTGCAACGAATTGTAAACACGTTGGCCGAGCTACGGAAGCTCCGTCATGTGGCGAACCCATGACGTGAATCTTTTCCATGACGTAAAGAGCATCCCTTGATCCAGTTTATTGATCAAGCTCGGATTTTCACCTTTCCATCGAGAGATTTAACCGCACAGCACGACAGATTCTCATTGTACAACGCCTATCTTTTCAGCCTCCTCATCTCGTTGCTATCGACATCTTCGCATACTCATTCTTGAGGGCTGACAAATCCATTTGCCGCACAATGCTGTTAGCTGCATGCCTACGATTGAATCAGCCACCACGACCGAAGACACTTCGAAATTATTCTTTAAGCTCCGACGCTCAGTTTGTCTGGAAGTCTTCAATGTTCGAACTCAAGGACGAGCTGGACAACAGGTCGCTCACGCATTCTCTTGCTTTCTATTGGCACGTGCTATTCCTCTGAAACGAGGATTCAAGACACAAACACGGTTGCCGAAGTGTCCTCTCAGTTCCGGTTGCGCACCTCCGATAATTCACAAGCCTCGGATGGTATCGCTTGAAGCCAACGTACTGGAAGGTCTCTGAGTAGATGACTGTTCATTGATAGTTACCTCTGTTTGGTTTATCTGACAACGTCTATGACGGCGTCCCCTAAGTGCACCGATATTTACTACATGTTCACTGTATCCGCCAACGGCCCAATGGATTGTAACGCTGGTAATCTCAGACAGTTTTTACGGTAATTTGAGCGCTTTACTACGCCGGACTAAGAGCTCAAACGTTGCTGCGGTTGCCGGGTACAATTGGCGTTGTTAATGTTCAGTTAGGTGGTCGCTTTGGACTGGAATCGAGACCCACGAAAAGTGGCAAACGCGTGTTGCGGTTATGTGCTAAACACGGACTGTTTCTATGCAGTACCAACTTCAAAAATAGACGGAATTGCTTGGCCACATGGTGGTTGGCGAATACGAACCAACCTCCAACGCAAATAGACCTGAACACCATTAGCTATAGGTGGCCAGGTTCAGAGTGCCGCCAGTTCAGTAAGACCCACGTTTGTTCGGCAGTACTTCTCATTGCGCTTTTTGGAGACACGCAAGATAAGCAAAACTGGCCTGGCCAAAGGAAGCTCTCGGATCCAAATCTGAAGCAAATTTACAAAAACCGCCTACTGGCTTCTTATCCAGGTAATCTATCTTCTAAAGTCGAGTTTCATTGCAAAGTAATGTCCGCTAGTCTTTAAGACACCGGGTGGTTGTCTCGCTAATTCACCTCAACCAACTGGGCTCAGTCCCATTTTCCGAAAACCTGCCTACGGTGAGTGACAATCACAGAGAAATTAGCTTGACCCGTTGTAACCGGGCTCTGCATTGCTTAGCTAAGGAATGTGCGCGAAGACGGAAGCCGAGAAGAGCAAACAGGATTTCGGCCTGGAAAGGGCTGTGTGGACCACATGTTCACACCGCGCCAAGTGTTGGAGCAACGACATGCGTATAGGCTCCCTACAGTATTGGTGTTCCTTGACTTCAGGAGTGCGTTCGGTTCTGTTAACCGTTTAGCCCTTTTCAGAGACACGTTTCACTCCAGAGGTTCGTAAATATCATACGCTGAGAGTGTATGGGGAATCATTCAACAGCTTCCCTAAAACCAGTGATGTGGGAAAAGGATAACCATTCTCTCCATTTTTGTTTAACTTCGTTCTTTTTCAGATCATGAGTTGAATAAACCAAGGTCTCAAAGGTCTTTTTGAGCGAAAACCTTGTGGAATATGAAAACGACCTTATTAGCATTTTTGAAAAAGAGCGGAAAGTGGGAGCACTGCGAGAAAAGCTGACCAAGGTCATCCAGTTCTTTAGCATGTGCTTCACACCCCACAAATTACAGTCATCCCACAGGAGGTACGATTTTGGAACACACCTTATCCATATCTTGGAAGTTGCATTAACTCTGACGGCATTGTGGCAGACGAAGTAAACGCACGGATCTCAAACATCGGGATTGTGTTTGCGAATTTGCGTCACTAGTGGCATCGAACAGACATCTCACTGGGTCTCAGAGGACGCGTGTGTTAAACTGCAATCAAGGGCTGTATTGTTGTATGGTTACGAGACCTAGTCACCTCTGGCGAAGGATATGAGACATCTTCAGGTCTTTGACCATGGATGTCTGAGAACCATGGCAGGAATCGGCTGAATAAGCAGATTCGCAATGGAGTGATCGGGAAACTTGTATTTATGAAGAATGTACTTCACTCAAAGAATGCACTCAGCATTCCGAACTAAGGTGTTACGCATGCCGAATTACCGCCTGCCAAGATAGACGCTGTTCTTCGTGCGCAATTCGGAGTGGTATAATAACCGAATGCTGGGGTCGTTTTTAAGCAATTAGACTCACTCATTTGCTTGGGATTTATGTTAAAGATTGTGATATACAATTCAGCCCAGGTTGAACAGTGAACTAGGATTAAGATGCCACCTTAAGAAGCGTTGAAATTCGACTAACGAGCATGTAAATCTCCAAGAGACTTCCGTTCTCTGCAGCGGATAAAGAGTTCCACACAGATGTTGAACCGGCATGACCGGATCGGTTAAACCTGATTGAGAAGGCGCAAGCAACTTCCCACAAATTACCTGTCAAGTGACACCCACTTTTCTGTAGCTGATGAAGGTCGCAAGACGCGTGAGTGGTGAAAACTCTCTCAACTTCGCATTGTTTACCCGAATCACATGTCACACTGTTTCGTTGTGGATTCCGTGTCTTTATTCCTTCCAAAGACGTTTCTGGCATTACCACACACCCCCTACCTTAAACTTAGTGGGAGATGACCATTAAGCAAAGGTGAAGTGAACTTTCCTAAGTGAGGTGCTTGCAGTACCCAAGTGACAAAAGGGTGGGTAGCCCTGAGAGTTCGGAAATGAACATTCTGTGCTTAAGTGGTCCATTCAGACGATAGGATTATTCTAACAAGGTCAATCTGGTTGGAGTGTCAGTCATCGCAGCAACTACGTGCGACTCCAGAGAGCTGTCACAACCATTATCCATCGCCGAAAAAGTTTCCTCTCTCAGTTAACAAGAAACTGCGACAATACAAACCTTTATGAAAATCTTCGTAGCGCCAGGACCATCCTTCCCGGGGTTGCTTTGACGCGAGAATTCGAGATCTAAATACAACTTCGCTGGCCGAACTAGAGAGTGTAAAAAGGAATAAACGGCTTAGCAAATAGCACCCAACTAAAGGAAACATCTTCACAGTTGGCGCACTAAGCAAAAACGGTCGAGGTACGAACAACTGTCTAATTATTTAGGTGAGTGCCAAAATTTTCGAAAGGTAGGAGACACGTAACACTCCACCCTTTACAAAAGTGAACAAATATCAGAAGTAGCTGTCAGCGATATTAAGATGCGAATGGCAGAGAAAGGAAACCGAAAGATGTCAGCAATTGGGAGCAAAAAGGGTAGTAAACATGAGGTAATTGAAATTCTGCGTTCGCCCATCATTTGTTGTGCGATGTTCGTGTGACCAGTCGTCCTAATTTGTGAATCGCTCCATTGGGCGACTCTATTACACATGTATTCCGCTAACGTAATCGGTTCCTTCGCTATACCAGTGTTGTGCTGTTCAGGATTGTATCGGATGCTAAGTCAACATCGAAATATCTTCCTTAGACTGGATGAGTAACCGTCATGTAAAAGTTACCATCCTTTTGTTAAGGCATCGAGTTCGAAAAAGAAGGAAGTTGCCCCGGGAACAAACAAACCCGAATACCACGACTGCAGCTGTATAAAAATCATACAAACAAAAATGGAGTGTATATCTTTATCTGGATGCAGTTGATAATCTGCGAGAGGAGAGAAACCTGAAAAGAGGCGACCTCAGTGGGTGGATCCAGTTAACTTTGTTTCATTTAAGTCTCAAATGACTAAGAAACAGTCGGCGAAATCAACATCAAAACAGCGGCATTTTGCAATTTTTGTACATTTCACCCATAATTGTCAGAAACTCCAAAAATTTCCGGATGTTACCTCCCAGTAATTTCATACATCTTTGAGATCTTTCACGACGTTTTATCTACCCGTAGACGAGTATTTCGGCTTAGTCTACAAGTTTATCGAAAATTTGTCCTCCGGGGCGCAAAAAATGTCTGCTCGTGATTCTATACCAAAACTTCTATGCTTCTATGCAAAGCTATTTACGCAGTGCGACTTACTGATATGAGAAGGGGGTAACTTCGTAATAGAGGAATGGTGATCCGTCATGCGACTGATCCATGAAACGGCTGAATATACCCACTGCTACCTTCTTCGTTCTCATGATCCATGAAAGTCAGCAAACAGCTCTCCATTGTTTAAACATACAAAAATATGACTCCTTAGGCATAATACTAACATATAACATATATTGAAGAATGTTCTTGACCAGAGATTCAGCTAGGTGCCAGATGAGTCTCCTGTTAAAACCGAATGGGCATGCAGAGGCGTGTGTGAGTCGAATTTCGTGCGCTTTGGGTTTATATAGAACATAGGGCTGATGGAAAGTCGGAGAATGCGCCTAACTGATGGACCCCAAGATGGGTGAAACCGGTCGTTGGCTGTCGAAGGGTCTTCGGCAACCTTAAGAGTAATGTATTACGTCTGCATCGGAGAACTTGTGGTCCAATCAAACTACAGCGAGCTGCTTCTTTCCGCAAGTTAAGGTTAATACGTCTGGTTTGTCGGAGTCGATCTGTTCCGTCCAAAAATGTCTCATCCTGTCGTTCATGGCCCGTAAGACGACAACTGTGAGGCTAAATCATATACTTGATAGGGATACCTTGAAAAGGACGCAGTACAGGAGTTTTGAGAATGTTATCTTCTTTTCCCATGGTTGTTCCTTTTCCGTGGATACTATCGCATGCAGTTGGGAGACTCTTCTGGTCACAGCGGAACAAACACCAGTAACAACATAATTGGAAAGTAGAAAATACAACATTGTTGAACTCACATGTGGGAATGACTTCATAATGCAACCGCGCTGAGGGAGTCATTTGCCTACAGTCGAAAGAAGGAGAATGCTCTGAATAGTCCCAAGAAAACGTCATCACGGCAGCTGTTACCTACTACATTCACGAAGTGCATTTCAGGCAGTGCAACACAACCGCGGTTCTCGGCAAACTAGGAGAAAAACCAGGAGTATCATATCAGTCAGACTGGCAAAGGAAAACTCAGGACTATACACAATGATTGGTTGATGAAATAAAGCCCATCGACAGCTAAGGGTATACGCTGCCGAATCGGCCTACGTTGTTGTCTGTTCGCTGCCATGCCACACAAGTGACCAGTAGGGTCATTCAGACTCAGCTTCCTCTTTTTGCTTCCGTGTGCGGCACACGGCTTCGACCAAATGGGCACCTCGAGCATTCACGAGTATACTTTGAGGTCGGGGCCAGTGGTACTGTGTCTGGCAGCACCGTGGCTCACTGACGTCACTTTCCATATTCCATTCAATAAGCACAGTAAGTGACCCAACGACGATAGTGGTGCGTTTAGACCCAACCTGAAGCACAAACGCGACGTTTCAGACATGGGTTAGATAATGGTAGATGTGTTCAATCCATTCTGAAGACCCGAGAAACAGTGCAAAGCTGTTTCATCCCTGTCAGGAACCGTCAGCGACGCACATCTCACAAATGGTTGGATGCCTGAGCACTCGTCCAGGGTGTTGAGGGTTCGAATCATCTAAGAGATTCGGGATATATGCGCAACAGCAGGAAACGGCACAAACGAACTCATCCGCATGATGAAAACGGCTTCTGAGGCGGTTTTCAAGACCGAACGAGTGCGGAATGGACAGGAAAGTGAATCAAGAGACAACTTTCGCTCTTCGTTGAGCAAATATCAACTTCTAGACCAACAAATCCAACTATCTACAAAATAGAAGTGGTGGGGATGGGTAGTACTATCTTGAAACAAACAGGCCATAAATTAGATTATGTGCATATTTTCCGCATTTTTTCGACGAAGAGTGAGTCCTGCGATTTTTCATAAAACGAATCAGGGGTGATACAAGAGGTATCTGAGTGTTCTCAAAAATCCGCCACGAATTTCTCAGCCTGCTGAATTGTACAACTTTCTACATCGTATGCGTTCACAACAACCTGTGGTGAAATACGTCAGGCATTCGTTGCACAGAAGAGAAGTTATAACACCAGTTACCATACCTTGGGCACCAACTTTGTCACAAAACGGCATTCACACAGTGGAAGCTCCATAGTGTCTCGTGGTGCACACAGGTAGTTACAACCTACTGCATCCCCAGAATGGGCAGCTACAATAGTCCACCAAACGCACGTTTTTACTACCATAGGAAATTCTTCCCTGACAACGTTTATCACCAAAACCTGCGTACAATTTACCTAGGTATTCATGGGAGTAAAAATCCGAATAACCAGCGTCCGGTGGCGTAGCAAATGTTGTATTTCTTCAGTAAGTCTACATCATCTACAACAGATTTGCTTTCTGACAAAAAATTAATAACCGGCTTAGTTTTGTCTAGGGTTCATGGGGGCAGCTATGACGTATTTTGGAGAATAGGTCATCTGCTTGTCTCACTTGGTTGAATGCAATCGGTAGTCCAGTGGAAGAAAAGTATGCGATCCGGGACCATAGTGAGCCGGCTAGCAGCAACCCAAATCGAGCACGGATCTACCGCTCGCTCCGCCATCCGAATCAGAATGATCGATCCAAACAGTATATTAGACGAGATGTCACCACTGATCAATATTTTTTGTTATCCTTACGTGAGTCATGTAACCGGATTGCGTAAGAACACAGTGATGTGTTGCAACAACGAGGCCTGGTCAGTACTGTGTTGTCGAGCCAATTGACTTGGAGTTTGGAGTACTGTAACCTGAGAACAGTGTTGGAACCATCTGTTAGGCTGTACATTGCTCCAGAAAGTTCCGTGCACAAAGGTTAAGGCCATTAATCCTATTCATCTGCGTAGTACCAGTCGGTAAAAACTGCGGTCAAATGTGACAGCCGTTCGTCGAGCAGTGAATGTCAAGGTCGAACGGAAAAAGATTCGGTCATGTAGATAAATATGAATGATTCAAGTGGAAGTTTCGTTCAGAAATCGATTTCCGCCCCTAAACGATATGGTCATCCTGGTGTTAAAAATATCGGTTTGGTGAAAAATACTTACCTATAATAGTGAAAGAATGACTGAATTCCTGAGGTGAGAAAAAATCGTTGCCCTCCATGACCCAGAGAATGACTTTCGTAACTGAAAACCATCATTTCCTATTGCAAAAAGTGGACATAGACGGAACAACTTGAGCATATAAAATGAATACAGATATAAGGAGACGGCAAAGCTTGACAAGTTGCCGATTCAACGGAGATCCGTCAAAAAATGCTGCGTTCGAATACGCTAATGAAGCTACAAGGCAACGAACAATTCGAGCTCAACACAACTGTTGCTGCTGAAAAGGCCTTTAACACATGGTTGCTCCTAACGAGTGACACTTACTCAAAGCACAATGACAGTATAGTTGGAATGGGAATGAGACAAAATGAAAGGATTCGAAGGCATCTTACTTCACAACCAGCTGTGCTGATTAGGCTAAATGGAGAGCATGGCATCGGATCGCATCCTGACGCAACTGCTAGATAAGAGATATCAACGAAGCTGAAGAATAACGAAGCTACAAGACAGGATCATACTGAAATCAAAATTAGGACACCAGGTCGACAGGGCTAAGTGCGCTAATTTGACCGGATGGTCCATGGTTCGAACCCGTCCTCTTCCCCTTGACTGCTTTTGTCTAGGCTTGGATAACTTGGCAGTATCTCGGCTCTCGTGCTTTCACTGGGTAGTACGGCGGCTAGGCACCGAAAGGGTTCTACAGCTAAACCATTATTATTATTATTATTATTACTTATTAGGACACCACCACGTCATTTGACCATTCCCTAATAAACGTCAATCGTGAAACATGTTACCTATAAGAGCACTTTGTGAGAGACAAAATAACACAGTGAAATTGGGCACCGTCATCATCAGAGACAGGAGCATCGGTGTTGACACTGATCCTTCACTGCTGTATAATCACAAAATTGATCTAACTAAATTCAAGCCTCAGAGTGAAAAAGAGTGTAGAGATGCTAACCTATCGCGAGCGTTCTGAGGTGCCTACAATCTAGTGCCTCAATCAATCTGGAAAGAAGCGCACAGCACAAACGCTACTGATACCGCTCAGCCACCATTTCTCGCAATATCTTCAGTTAAGCACAGATGAGTTCACGAGACCCCATAATGAAAGACGTGACACCAACAACACCAAAACTCTTCACAGTTACTTTCGTGCCCTTCTGCCAAGTCATACGCTATCCATCTCGCGGTTTGCTCACTCCTGAAAGAGGCCCCGAGAACAACACTCGTCTCGGTAGACGATGTTTCGGCATGCGTATTACATGGTCGAGCTAACGCAATCGATGGTGCTGGATGGCTTCCGCCAGTGAAATATTTGCTGCACAACCAAATACCGTTTTCTAATTACCCCGTTTCGAGTACCCTGACGCCATCCAAAACTAGCAACGCTTCTGAGGCATCGGTGGTAAAAAAGGCTGAAGACGTCTCACATTTTCCGTCAGCCTACGGTAATCACCCAGACATTGGGTTACCACATAGGTCACCTGTAACTATGTTCCAGTCTCGGGTGGTCACATGCAATTCACCAGTATGAATTTTGAGAAGAATACTGATCACTGAATGCGGTATAGAAGTTTCAAGGAAAAAGCGAGACTGATAGTTCAGAACAAAGAAAAGTGAGGGTGTATTGAATCAAAAGACTTACAGGACCGAAGTGTCTTGCGAAACTCAAGGCATCCTCTTGTTTATGAAAAACCTTTCTAACCGCTGTGGGACCAGTCAAACTGAAACACGAACAAAAGATCACAAAACCATTACGCTTGCCAAACAAACCATAGCAATTTAAGGTCGACCGGTTATCATATAGACCTCAACTTTGACAGCGTGATGCGAATGAAATGCGAGCAGAATGCTGAAACAAATCAGCGTATCTACCCTAATTTCAGTGCCGAGGTGGAAACTCAGGTGGCGAAAGCATAACCTCCCATTCCCCACAGCCCTCTAGCCACAAAATCTAACAGACTGAAACTGATTACGGTGATGTATCGATTCGAGTTTTTGCGCATCGTTCGTTTCGGATGGGTGGGGCCGATCCGACCGATACCGACATCCCAGATAATTTGTGAAAACACCGTTGGCCGCAAACATAGCCACATAATTACTCACGTAAGGCCGATTATGAACCAAACGTACGTGTCCTGCCTCTGGGCGACCCCAAATGGCCACAGTAGAATTTCAACACACCCGTTAGGCCAGTCCAGTTAGGTTGGTTGAGTCTACGTTACTATACTGGGTAGACCGGGATCAAGCGACAACAGATGTAGATCGGACGGCCCAATCAACCTGCAAAGAAAACCAAGACGCTCCTAGTGTCCAACCACAGCCGCTGGTCGACGCCGCTATAGGGGCGGTAGTGTCAGTCAATGAAACAAATTTGTGACCAGGATAGAGCTACCGCTGAATGGCATAGACGGTCTGACAGAACAGACATGGCTTTCATGATGCGCAACAGAAGTGGAGGAATGATTATACGACGAACATGACGCAAAACCGATTTGCAGTGACAAAGGCGATGAAGGGCGAATGTGTCGCTAAGTCGACACTGTATTGTACCCGCGTTCCAGGCGTTAGGTCAGAACCGTGGCACTGACCAAAACGTCACACACCGTTTTCACTCATGCGGGGGACTTGTGTCCATGTAGTTCCCGTTAGTGCAACATAAGAGCTCGAAATAGCGCTAACTTGCTGACCGAAAGATCCATGGTTTGGACTCAACCTCTGCATTTCGACAACTCCCGTCTAGGCCTGGGCAACCTGACAGTATCTCAGCCCTCGTGCTCCCTTCGGATAGCATGGCATCTAGAGATCAAAAGGGTAGTAGATCCCAACGATTATTTATGATTGCGACATACGAGGACAGTAGAGCGCTCCACGATTTCTGGTGTCACCCGTCGGTTTTACACACGTTGCAACTTATCAACATTGCTGAAAGCAAAACAATGACAGATACCGGCGCTTAAGTACCACAAAGTTGTAAGCAGGGTTTGAGCTACAAATGACTCGGCAGTGAGGACACGAAACTACCGACAACGTTTGTGGTTTGAACCTAACCCCAGTTTTTCTATTGTATCTGTCAAGGATTCGGTAACCTCTCCGTACTTCATCCCTTATGTTCGCTTCACGTTGCACTACCGCTACACATCGAAAGATGAAAGACCGGTTGTTTATTTAGCACCGTTAATTACAGACTCCGTATCCCAAAGACGGAAATATTGCAAAGTGTGGACCGATTAATAAGGAAACAGCTGGTTACAGGAGTATAGTGGGCCTAAGCGCAGTTATGTCCCTAACAGGCGAGCTTCATCTATATATCAGGACGTCAGGAGTTCCAAGATTCATGACCGCTGAATTCATGCAATACATTGATAAAAAAGAGTAAGCTGTTACTGCTTACGAGGCTCGATACGGTTGTGGTATTTCACGAACTTTGGCCGCAGCAGCTTCCAATTTCAATCGTCTATCGAACCTGCAAAGTACCTCGCTATAGAAGATGTGAGCCACTCACATATTATGAGCTATCCATCAAAGAAAATAAGAATCAGCTGCCCGGATGTGTAAAGCACCCACCACATTGTACGACAGGTGGTTCGGAAAATCTGGAAGCGAATGAGAAATTACTAT